ACCCTGTATATGTGTGTGTGTGTGTTCGTTATAATCAATATTTAAAAATATTTCAAGAAACAAATTCTATTTTGATAAAATATATTGAATACCTAAACATACCTGGAGATTGTATTCTTACATATGTGTGCAATCAATGGCACCAATTACTTTAGGAAATGCAGCAATTTTAAAAAAATCTCTTTGAGCTTGTAAAATATCTTCTTGTGTTTGTGGTAATTTTACGTAAATATGTGCCAAGGAAGCTATAGCTTCAAATACTCTAACAACTATTCTTGAAACTGTAGATTTGTCCATTCCACCATAGTCACCCATTGTGATCAAAAATCCATTAGTTGCGTAGAAACGTAAAGTAATAAGCAACTGTTGCATTGGTGTAACCAAATTATTTCTAAAAGATTGCAAAATTACTTTTTATTATAATTATAGTAACATATTATAATACACAAATACATATTGTTGTTAACAGACTGTAAAACTGTTACACATTTTACCTTGTAATGCGTGGAACGTGAAAAACATTTCTAACCTATTCATCTCGAACTAATAAGAGTATAACATTTACCTGTTATGTGTATACTTTAGATGATCTTCAATTTGTTCTAATATATTTATAACAGACTGTTTCTCTAACCGAAACATTCTGAAAAAATTTAATTCGTCATATTTTTCAAAATAATTAGCACGTACACGAACATTTCGTGGTATTCCATAAACAATTAAATTGAATGCGTCTAATTCATCATCTTCCAATACATCAAAATCTAAATCCATTTTTTCTACTTCAATAATTAATGCGCGAACCCTAGCTAATACTCCCGGCTTACTCCACGTATTGTAGACCACGTATAATACGCGATAGTGACATAGGACCAATCCGACCAATAAAATGCGATTTATGTTCCTTAAAATCTCTTAAGCGGTACTGAAACCATCGCTTAAAATAAGTGTAAGTTAAGCCATATTAAGTGTCGCTTACACTTTGGTGCAACAAACTTAAAATTTTAAGTCTCACTTAAGGCCGAAATAACGTTGGTGCAACCGGGCCTTAGTCCCAGTCTACAATAGATGATTTAAGCCCTAAGCTTTAAGAAATTGGCCAATCACGGTCAAGTATGAGTCGAATGCGCGACTGTGATTAGTCAATTTCTTAAGGCTTAGGGCTTAAATCTCTATTGTAGACTGGGACTTACCCCTGGTCCACAATCTTGCTTTAAGTAAGTTGTAAGCCTTAAGCCGTAAGAAATTAACCAATCGCAGGTGAGAGTGAGGGGAATAAATGCCTGCGATTGGTTAATTTCTTACGGCTTAAGGCTTACAACTTACTTAAGGGGGGACCCCACCCCTGACACAACGAAATCAGTCTTAACTTTGTGAATTTTTTGTGGGAAAATTAATAACTTTATTGAAAAACTAATTTATAGGTATTATTGTACGTCTTTTATAGTATACTAGAACAATACAAAGCGCGCGCTTCGCGCGCGCCATTGCTCATTTTATATAAAATATATAATAAAATAATAAAAAATAAATAATTAATAATTAATAAATAAAAATAAATTATGTAATTATACATAAAAATATATATATTATGCTGAAAAAGTAATAATTACTTTATAAATTAAATATAATAATTACCATTTAACTATAAATAAAACATTCATATTTGCAATATTATCTGTATACAATATACTACACATAGACACATACACACTCTCTCTCTCTCTCTTT